GTTATGCCACTTCTTTGGACAATGTTGAGCAATGTATTTAGACTCTTCACAATATAAGTATAATTTTTCTTGTTGAAAAAGAGTCTTTTCTTGCTGAGTAAGAAATTTGAAACAAATTATGCTAATTTGCATATCTTCCACTTTTGAATGTACATATTGAGAATATATTAGTATTGCCATTGAATTGTAAAAATATTGAGGTCTATTTTTGTACTTTTTAGATTAAAATTTAAAATGATGATTATTATACTTCATAATAAAATCAATCACTTGACTCAATGTCTAAGGATCATGTTTGTTGAGCATTAATTTTTTTATCTCATGCTGTAATCTATAGAAAAAATAGCTAATGAACGCAATATCATTTCATATTATATTATTCACAAGTTTTTAAAATTTTGAAGCATAAAATGTTACAAATCAATTGCCTTATTGCAAAATACAAATCTTATAGATTGCAACATAAATTGCATCATATTCTCCATATATGAATCAAAACTTTGCCAAAAATGCCTCTAAATTATCTAATATTGGATCTCATTATTCAAAAAAAGATGAAACTAAGATAAAATATAATCAAAAAGTAATATTTCAATAAACATGACTTGTGATCTTAGAGTTGGATAGCTTTGGAATTGAAGTTCAATCACTAGTTATACTTGATTAATGAATCTTTAAAACTTTGATCTTGTGCCATCAAACTTCTTGGATATGATAATTCTTGATTTTTTAATATTAAAATAATATTCCACTAAAGAAAAAATAGCTTGATTTAGAAAAAATATTGAAGCAGCTTTGATCATCTTTATATCCTCAATTCCTATTAATCTTATTGTTTCCTATGGTGGTAAATTAAATTGATGCATTACAAGCATTAACTTCTTCAATTTCTCTTATATTTGTGCCATAATATTCTTTATTTTAACAATCTCTGCTAAGAACAATATGAGTTTTAAAGAAGGTAATCTGTAACTCCTAATATACTTATGTCTTATAAAAAAAAAGATTAACCTACTTTTAATCAAGAAAAGATAAAATTTTAATATTATAAGTCTACTCTTATCAATTTTTTAAAGACAAGAACTTAATGAAGATAAATAAAGAAGTGAAAGTTTTTTCAAAAAAAGATTAAAAAAATAAAAATAAAAAAATATGTATATTCAAAAGAAATTACAATGGCTATTGCCAAAATTACAATGGCTATTGCTAAAATTCAAGAAAACTAGAGATTTTTAAAACTAGATTAAAATCAAGAATAGAATTTATAATAATAAAAAAAGATTAATTCTTCCTTCTATATATATTATCTAACTAAGAGCTATGTAAAAATATTTTATAGGATCTTTGACATATATTCAATTTGCAAAACATGTGTCTTAATTCATAAGGCAAGTTTCATTTAAGTGCATGACATGGTTACTTTATACCACAAGCCACTAATATATATGATATGTAGCTAACTTATTGGCCAAATATTCAACCTTAGACATGTACAAAGATGAAATCATATTTGTAAAGCTTTTAAGAAGCTTTTCTAGAAGATATTATCAAAATTATGTACTTTTATCTACTTCTATATATCTCTATTATCTAAGTAAGTATTGAAATAAATATACATATTTATGATATTAGCTTACTAGTTATATCACCTCTTCTACAAACTCTTATCAAAAAATCTCTCATATATCTATTATTTATTCATAATTAGTTTCATAATTCTCATCATCATCTATTAGGTAGATTTTCATTAAAAAGTTGTATACTAAAAGATGATATTGTCTTCATACAACAGTAGATACATTAATTGCCATTCAAATTCACATATATACATTATCCTCTAATCCTCAACAATCAATATCTATGATACCATCTTTAAGGCCATATAAATAATTATTATAGACTTTAGATTATAAGCAAATATACTCTCTATTGCATCACTCTCCAAGTTTCAACTTTCAAAAGCAAGTCATCATAATGGCATCCTAATACAACTAGATTTTCAAAACCACCATCTATAAAATGACTCAAAATTAAAATAACACTAATTTTTTATTTCTAATAAAATATTAACAAAAAAAAAACAAAAAAAACAAAAAAAAACAAACAAACAAACAAACAAACAAACAAACAAACAAAAAAAATCTCGTGTAGTTATCAATTATCATTAACTTGTCAAAAGCAATGAGTGAATAATTTATAGATTGAATTTATAGTGGATATAACTCATGATTTCTACCTAGTGACAAATCACAAGGACTTGGTTTAGAGATAAATCTTAAAAAAAAAAAAAAAAATTAATTCATACTTTATTTAAAAAATTAATTATTCTTCTACCATTTATTCTTCATTAAATCATAAATTTAAAAATATAATTTTTAAAAAAATGCCACATATAACATATTTTAAATAAAATAAGACTTATAAAGAGGATTAATCTTACATATAGAAGGTTTGATATTTTTAGACAAGTAAATCTAAACACAATAAATGACGAACTTAAGGACTATGATATTAAGAAAGTAGATGTCAAACTGCTTGTACTATCTAAAGATATTGACAAAAGTCTCATTCTTCAATAGAAATCTAATAATTAAGATGATCCTTATGATGTATTTACTTGTCTTCCATCTTACCAATACATTTATCATTGATGTCTTCTTAGCACCACCCACACCCATCAACATAGTTAGCATGCTTGGCTTGAACACCTTACTGATATCATTCAGCAGTTGTAATTTATTTTCCTAATTCCATTAAGCTTTTTATCTTGTGCAAAGAAATCTCCTAAAAACCATTCATGTTTATGAAGTTCAAATTGATGTATTTCAAACTTGTAAATATATATATGCAATTATTACAAAAAAAAAGTCTTGATCTTTATTTTTATTTTTTTGAATACACAAATTATGTTTATTATTAAAAATTACTCAAATAACATATATATATTCTACTATCAATAATAACCTTTATTTTTTAATTTGAAAAGTGCACATATATGATTCTTTCTTCAATTAAAAAAATAAATTGGAATTTTTATAAATATTTATCTTTGAAATTATAAAAAATGTACTATTTTGATGTGAATTAATAAACTGCAGTAGGAATAGACATGTAAAATTATATATGTAGAAGTATTTAAAATAAAAATTTTGTAGAAAATATGACCTTAGAGTGAATTAAATCATTTTTATGACTTTTTTTTAAATTCCTTTTGAAATATTTTTAAAAAATAATAAAAAAACATATTAAGATGAATGTGTCAGTATTTATTTATTTATCTATCTATTTTAAAGATAAAATTAATCTAATAAAAGAAAATTGATGTAAAAAAGAGCATTAAAGTAAAGGATTTGAAAATTTGAAAATTTGAAATAAAGTAAATAAAGATCTTATTTATATGATGAATATGACAAGATTGTTATATGAATTAGTTTTTAAAAACAATCAAGATATGGTATCCACTCTACACTTCAATATGAAATAATATCAATATTAGAAAATGTACAACACAATTTCTTTGATAGAACAACCTTATAAACTTTTACTCCTTGGATGAATGCCTCCCCGTGAATTATTATCCACATGGTGGCATTTAGATAAAGAATTTTTCTCCCTCCTACAATTTTCTTAACACAAAAAACAAGGATATAATCATTCTTTCCATACAAACTTTTAAGATATTTTAGAAGATTTTGCAAGTACTAGAGACTGAGGTGAGTGTGAAAAGTGGGTTTTGATCAAAGTGGCCATGATAGACCAACATTTAGGTTTCTATATTATTTACCACATATGTCACTTTATTTTGAAATAGCATAGCTTTGGTACCTTTTACACTTGCAAAGTAAGCACACACACCACAAAATTCTACATGTATCCAAATTCTTGACTTATGTAATCTACTAAAATTTTTCATATTCCATTTATTTTGATAAAAATAGTTTAAATAAAATTTTCGTTTTAACTAAAATGTTTCCTTCGTATGTATTCTTATCTCTAAACGTATTGAAATTTTGTTTCCCTTTAAATTCTTGTTTTGTAATTTTAAAAAAGTATACATATAAATGTTATTTTAATGGGTTATGAGAAAATCATTACCCTAAAATAATTTAACACTATAAGAAGGACCTTGTCACTTTGATGTTGTTGTAAGTAACCATCTTCCTATGTTATGAATTACTTAAGAACAACATCCTTTAAATGATTCAATTTTAGGCATTTAAAGCTCGTATAATATCTTGTTATTGTAACATAACTTGTTTCAAAATGGGATTCATAATATTCGTTAAGAACAGAAATATCATTAATATACCACGTCAAAAAACCACTCAAAGAGATTTATTAAAAATGTTTCATTCCTCAACCAGTGAAAGCAAAATTAATTTTAATTTCAAAGCCATAATATTTGTTCATTTTCTATTTAAAATCCACAAGAGAAATCCTCAAAACTATTGTTACTTGTAATAAAACTAACACAAGAGCAGAAGCTCATGTGCTAGGTAATCATTTTTATAAACACAATAATACTTATTTTCACGAAAATGAATTTAAATATTGCAACACATATTGTTACAATACAAATCATAACCTTTTCAAATACTCTTAAAATAACAATATAAAAATAGGGTTCTTATTTTTTTGTAAAAACACACATATTTTAACCCACTTGTTATAAATTATACCAATAGTTGGTATACACAGTACCAACTCGTGCTAAACTACATATAAATTTTGGTCAAACTTACCATATCTTGAATTATTTGTGCCATCCTTTGAGATTGGGGGGCAAGCGATGAAGGGGCCTCAGTAGAACGTGCAGACCACAGCGAAGCTTTGAAAGTAGAGAGGACGAACAGAGTTTGCGAGACGCACCCCATCGTTGGCACATTATCATCCACAACCAAACCAACGACACACCCTACATTCATCCACATATCTTGTGTTCATCCGTCCGTCCGAAAAATACATTCATCTGCCACTTTTGCATCCATCTATCCAGATCTATCACTTCGCCCTCCTCAAACACAGGCTCGTCGTCTTGCTCGATCGAATTCACAATTTAGGGTTGAGGAATTGGGAGCTCAGCGGATCAAACATTGTGGATCGTTGGCCACGGCAGTGGTGCGATTTTAACGTGTTTTATTTTATTTTATTTTATTTTGTTAGGGGAATGCTTCTTTTGTTGTAGGCCAGTGTTGGTTTGCTTGACTTGTAAGCTTTGTGCTGAGTGTCTACGTAGGAGGATTATTTAGGGTTTGGTGAAAATGGTGCGGAAGAAGGATGATGCGGGGAGCATGGCGGGCGGTGGGAAGTCGAAAGCGGGAGGAGGAGGAGGAGGAAATGTGAAGAAGGAGCGTGTTTCGGTGTCTGCGTTTTTGAACAGTTTGGACAAGGCGAAGGAGGACAAGCCGGCGAAGTCGAAGATGGCTGGAGGTGCAAAAGGTGCGAAGAAAGCACCCGCCCCGGCGACGAGCGCCTATGGGGATATAGATTTGCCTCCTGAGGACGAGGACGATATGGGGATGGACAGCGATGAGGAGGCAGCGTTGGCTTTGAAGCGAGGGGAGCGGAAGGGGCTCGATTTGACCGTGACGGATAAGACTGCGAAGAAGAAAGAGAAGAAGGAGACGATGGCTGCCGCGGCCGCGGAAATGGCGAAACAGGAGGCGATGAAGGATGATAAGAATGCTTTCTCTGTGACTATTGGGGCGAAGGCAGCGGCCTTGGAGGGTGAGGAGAATGCAGCGGAGGCCAGTATGAAGGATATTAAAGTTGAGAATTTCTCTGTGTCTGCGCGTGGTAAGGAATTGCTGAAGAATACAACGATCACTATCGTGCATGGGCGGCGGTATGGTTTAGTCGGGCCCAATGGTACCGGGAAGTCCACGCTTCTTAAGCTTTTGGCTTGGCGTCAAATTCCCGTTCCAAAGAACATAGATGTGTTGTTAGTGGAGCAGGAGGTTGTCGGAGACGAGAAAACAGCTCTCGAATCGGTGGTATCTGCGGATGAGGAGTTGATGCGTGCGCGAGAAGAGGCTGCAGAGTTGCAGAAACGGAGTGAGGCGAGTAATGGAGGTGATGATGGCGAGGAAGCCGATGACATTGGAGAGCAGCTGACGGCTCTCTATGAGAAAATGCAGGCACTTGGGACTGATGCCGCGGAATCGAGAGCCTCCAAGATTTTGGCAGGTCTAGGGTTTTCCATAGCGATGCAGGGGAGAGCCACGAAGTCCTTTAGTGGAGGTTGGCGAATGAGAATTTCATTGGCGAGGGCTCTGTTTATGCAGCCTACGCTGTTGTTGCTTGATGAGCCCACTAATCACTTAGATTTGAGAGCTGTTATGTGGCTCGAGCAGTATCTTGAGAGGTGGAAAAAGACATTGATTGTTGTATCCCACGACCGCGACTTCTTGAATTCTGTTTCTACAGACATCATCCATCTACATGACCAGAAGCTGCTCACGTACAAGGGCAATTTTGCAGCTTTTGAGGAGATGTACGAGCAGAAACGTCGTGAAAATAATAAGAAGTTTGAGGTTTTCGAGAAGCAGTTGAAAGCTGCAAAGAGGAGTGGGAGCAAGGCACAGCAAGACAAAGTCAAGGATCGTGCGAAATTCAATGCTGGCAAGGATGCTAAGTCCAAGGGCAAGTCTAAAGTTGCAGCTGATGATGATGACGCCACTGCTGAGGCTCCGAAGAGATGGCGTGATTACAGTGTGGAGTTCCACTTCCCAGAACCCACGGAGCTGACGCCCCCACTCTTACAATTGATTGATGTCGGCTTCAGTTACCCTGGCCGCCCAGATTTTGCTCTGAAGTCAATTGATGTCGGTGTGGATATGGGTACGCGAGTGGCAATTGTTGGGCCTAATGGTGCTGGAAAATCGACGCTTTTGAACCTTTTGGCTGGAGATCTTCAACCTACTGAAGGGGAGTCCAGACAGAGTCAGAAGCTTCGAGTGGGTCGATACTCCCAACACTTCGTAGATTCTTTGACGATGGACGAGACACCAGTTCAGTATCTCCTTCGACTTCATCCAGATCAAGAAGGTCCCAGTAAACAAGAAGCTGTGAGAGCGAAACTTGGAAAGTTTGGGCTACCCAGTCACAACCATCTTACACCCATTGTGAAGCTTTCTGGAGGGCAGAAAGCAAGGGTTGTTTTTACTTCTATATCTATGGCTCGGCCGCATATTCTGCTACTCGATGAGCCTACCAATCATCTTGACATGCAAAGTATTGATGCACTGGCGGATGCTTTGGACGAATTTACTGGAGGAGTTGTGCTTGTTAGTCACGATTCTCGGTTGATATCTCGGGTTTGTTCAGAAGAGGAGAACAGTGAAGTGTGGGTTGTGGAAGATGGATCTGTGCGGAAGTATCCCGACAGCTTCGATGAATACAAGAAAGAGCTGACGGAAGAGATCCGAGCAGAGGTAGACGAGTAGATACAGTAAATTATTTTCAACTTCTTTCTTATTATAGGTAATCCAGTCATTGTACGTATTGTTATGCTGAACCTGCAACTTCGACTTCGACAAGATTGATGGATCCTTTCCTTAAAAGCCAATACAGAGTCTCCCAGCTCTCTTTGGATTTGTGAGTGAGATCTTTGTCTTGTACTCAATGAAGCCATTAAATTGCGGGTTGTTGGAGTTGGCAAACCTTAGGTACAGGTTGTGTATTGGTTGAAGAGTTTACAGATACATTTTGGGATTGATGACTCTCTATTGAGGTTTGGTAGTTGGTTGTTGTTGGTGATTTGACATGTAGGGTTTTGTTGATCTGACATGACAGTCTCTAATGTTCGAGAATCAGGGCTGTTTAAGGCTAGGGTTAGCCCCTGAAACCCTCATATAGCTAAAATTGGCTGACGAACAGGTTGTTCATTCGACATCCATCTAAGTTTTCATTGTGTTTATCTATCAGTTCCGGACCTTGAATGAAATGATTGAATTATACGCTTAATTCAATTATGTGGGATGGCTCGAGAATCTTTATTGTTTGTTTGTGTCATCGTTCAATCCTTTACATGTTTGAATGACGTCTTAAGTGAAAATGAAAAATGGATAAATTATAATTATGAAATTTTGAGAGGAAGAACTTCGTTGAGAATCTTTTACAATATGCTGGGAAGTTACATATTGTACTGACAGGCATTTCTACTCAAATGCCACAAGCGATTTTATTCTCCTATTTGTGAACACGTGAACTTTTGTGATAGAAAGTATTTTTCTTACAAAAAAAGAAACAAAAAGGGCTAATCGTAAATTTTAGCAATATTTTGAAGGTTCAATTTTCAAAATTTAAACATCACTCAGCCAGTACTTTTGAAAAAAGGTGTCTGTCAATAGCATCTTGGTTTAAATTCTGCAATAATAGACGTGAATACAGGTTTAAATTCTTCAAAGACATGATAGTAACCAGGGTGTAATAGATCTCACAATTTTCTAGATTGCATAAATTTATAGAATTGCATGATTGTAATTAATTTTAACAAGCTTAAGTTTCTCACATGTTTGTAATTAGGATTTGTAACTCAGTTAATTTAGTCTCCATGAATTTATCATACATGATTTTTGGCAAATGTAACTTTGTTGTTGTTATTAAAAACATGTAATGGATTAAAAATTGTATTGCATTTTGCAATTGCAATTTGTTGGTGATTAGTATTTCATAAAACTTTCCAATTTGTATGTATTTACTTTTATAATAAAGATTGGTGTAATCATTATTAAAGGTATATATTGGCTTCAATTACACAACCTTCATGTATTCTAAAAGCATCACAAATTCATTTAAAAGGCTTGTCTTAGTTTGTTTGCAAATACATATTATTAGTTTAATTCCTAGCTCTATTATCTAAATTACAAAATATTTTTGGCAACTTGTGGATATTTGTATAGAATGTTTTTGAGATAATCAAAAAAATTCATATTTTTTTAAATATAAATGATTAGATAAGATTACTAAATTACCAAATTTTAAATATATTCTACAACATATTATCAAATATATCTACTTTTATTTCTACATAACTCTTCTTATCTTAATAATTATTTGTATCAACATGTATGTTTGTGACATTATCTTCCATTTTAAGGATAAGTTCTATAAAGGATAGTAAACATATGTTGAAAAATTTCAAAATATGGCAAATTGTATTAGTCACTACTCTAAACTTTGTTTCCTTTGATTTATTGTATCAAGTATCAATAATATTTATATTAGTGTAAAAAAAACCACCATCTTATTTGATTATTATTAAGGCATTCATAACTTTTTTCAAATAATATGTTTGAAAGATCAATAAGAATGGTTCTTATTTCTAATAATATCATCAATATTTAAGAGTCTCTTCTAAATTTGTGATATCAAATGAGATGTATCTTACCATCTATTTAAAAAAAAATATCATTCTTAAGATTCTTCATTTTTATTATATTGACTTGTAAGCTATGACAATCTCGATGATGTATCCAATAATTCAATAAACAATAGTTCTTTAGTTAAATTTGCTTGTTATTGATTCCCTATTTCTTTAATATTATAAATATATAAAAACTACAAACAATGATAGAAAATAAAATATAATATTTATTAAATTTAATTTGTTATATGACAAAAAATTTCTTGATTCTTCATCTTGATTTTGATAAATATTGTCAATAAAAAACATCAACCTTCTTTACTGTATTTACAAGAGTCATAAATAGATTTTATAAGTATTTTTTAATATTATATCTTTGTCAGTGTAAAAAATATTCCAACCTCTTTTAATGTTGCATTGATATTAAGACATCTTCTACCTCAAATTCTTGATTGTAGCTATTAAGGACATGAACTAAAAGATGATGCATAAACTAATGAAATCTGTGTCAAAGAAAGAGTAACAAAATAGAAATAAGGAAGTACATATATTAAAAAGAAACTGGAATGGCTTATTGCCAAAAGATAAGAAAACTTGAGACTCTTGAAACTAGACTAGAAACAAGAATGGAATTGACAAGAGTGAAGATGACTTCACTCTTATCTCTATATATGCTATCTAACTAGGAGCTATGTGGGGATATTCTATAGGACCTCCAATATATGTTGACTTTGTAGGACACATGCCTTGACTTATAAGGCAAGTTTTTCTATGTAAGGGCCACATAGTTAGCTTGGTCTTCAAGCTAACAACATGTGTGGCACATAGCCAACTTGTTGACGACTTTTCTAACCCAAAAAATCAATTATAGACACCTATAAAGTCAAAGCAATATCTGTAAAGCTTCTAGGAAGCTTCTATAGAAGATATTATAGAATTAACTTTTTTTTTTATCTACTTCTACTTACTTCTATCTATTTATACAAGTAATTACTAGCTTACATGTGTATGTTCATAACATTATCCCCTTTTTTAGGGATGAGTTCTACTAGAAGCAATCATCATATGTTGAAAAAATCTATGATGTGATGAATTGTATTTGCCACATACTCAAATCTTTGTCATCTACAAAGATGGTTGATAGGGCCTCTCAACCATTGATAGTGTCCTATACTAAGGCAAAAAGACCACCCTGTTCTTTGGTCGTTGTTGAAGCCTTCATACTTCCTTCAAATAAAATATTTAGAATACCATTAGGAGTTGTTCCTACCTCTAATAAAATTACCAAACATCGGGAGTTTCTTCCAAGGTCATGATACCAAATGAATTGTATCTTGCCATCAATTCAAGAAAAAATATGATATTCTTGATGATCTTCATCTTAATTGCATCGTCTTAAAGGTTGTGATAATTGCAATGTCTCGTCCAGTAGGATAGCAAATGAAGGCTCTTCAATGAAATCCATTGGTTATTGATTCTCCATCTCCTTAGCTATCAAGGACATGAACTCCAAAGAAAAACAATCTCAATACACTCTTGTGTCACTCGAAAATACTTAAAAATCACTCAAAGGTGATAATATATTGAACTAGAATGGCTATTACCAAAGACTAGAAAAATATGACGACTCTTGAAACTAGACTGGCAATAAGAAAGAAGTTGACAAGAGTGAAGAAGGCTTCACTCTTGTCTCTTTATATACTATCTAACTAGGGGCTACATGGCGACGTTCTATAGGACCTCCAATATGTGTTGACTTTGTAGGACACTTGCCTTGACTTACAAGGCAAGTTTTTCTTTGTGTGGGCTACATAGTTAGCTTGGTCTTCAAGCTAACAACATATGTGGCACATGGCCAACTTGTTGACTACGTTTCTAATCCAAAAAGTCAATTAAAGACACCTATGAAGTCAAAGCAATGTCTATTAAGCTTCTAGGAAGCTTCCATATCAAATACTATAGAATTAACTTACTTTTATCTACTTTTACTTACTTCTACTTATTTATATATGTAATTACTAGCTTATATGAGTATGTTCGTGACATTACCCCCCCTTCTAAGCACGAGTTCTACGAGGAGCGGTCATCATATGTTGAGAAAATTTATAATGCGACAAATTATATTCGCCACATACTCTGACTTTTGTTCTTTTCGAAGATGATTGATAGGGCCTCTCAACCATCGGTAGTGTCCCATACTAGAGCGGGAAGACCACCCAATTATTTGGTCATTGTTGAGGCCTTTATAACTTCCTTCAAATAGAACATTTGGAACACCATGAGGAGTTGTTTCTACCTCTAGTAAAATCACCAAACATCGGGAGTCCCTTCCCAAGTCGTGATACTAAACGAGTTGTATCTCGCCATCTATTTAAAGAAGAATATGTCATTCTTGAAGATCTTCATCTCGATTCTATCGTCTTGAAGGTTGAAACAATCGTAATGTCTCGTCTGGTAGATCAACAAATAAAGGCTCTTGAGTCCAATCCGCTGGTTGTTGGTTCTCCATCTCTTGAGCGTCACAACTACAAAGAAGCTATAAAGAAGGATTGAAAGTAGAATGATATCTTGCCTAGATCTTATTTCTTTTATAAAGAAGGTTTTTATTTTGATTTTGATGGATGTCGTCGATGAAAAGCCTCCACCACCTTTGTTGCATTTGCAAGATTCTTTATTGGCTCCCATGTACGTTCACTAATATCATATCCATGCCAATGGACAAGATATTTTAATTTATTTTGGCGCTGCCTTGAATCTAAGACTTCTTCTACTTCAAACTCTTTATTATTATCCACTTCTATAGGAGGAGGTGGAGCTTGTCTTCTTCTTGGTATATCCACTGTCTTGTATGGTTAAAAAAGAGACATGTGGAATACTGGATGGATTTTTATTTACTCTAGTAGATGTAAATGATATGCGACTGGATTGATTTGTGTAGAAATAGAAAATGGTCCCAGCCTTTGATAGTCCAACTTATCACAAGGTTGAGTGGTCTTGATATTGTGACGAAGTAACTATACCTTATCGCCCATGTGGAATGGTAGTTGTTCCTTTCGATAGACATCCGCATTTATCTTTTGTCGTTCTTCAGTTTCTTTTAATTACGCCTTCATTGTTGTATGTAACTCTGACAACCGATTTGCCATATCTTTTGCTGTAGGATTATCAACTTTTGAGAAGTCAAACATGTGAAGTCGTGGATGATAACCATAATTGGCAAAGAAAGGTGTTTGTTGCGTAGAAGAATGTATTATATTATTATAAGCAAACTCTGCCAATGGCAAAAAAGTTGTCCAATCATCTTGTTGATAGTTCATGGTACATCTTAAGTATTGATCCAAGACTTGGTTTACGCGCTCAGTCTGAGGATGAAAAGCCGAAGATAGTTTTATTTCCACTTGTAAAATCTTAAAAAGGGTTCTCCAAAATCTTGATACAAACTGAGTTCTCCTATCCGATATAATATCCTTGAGTAACCTATGATAGCGATAGATATTGTTAATAAAAAGCTTAGTTGTTTCTTCACCCATGATGGATTTTGTACATGGCACAA